TCTGCTGTAGATATCATAGATATGTAAAACACACTTATTTGTCAATGAATTCAATGATTATAATAATAAAAATGATAAATTAAGAAAAACGAATTTAAAAAAATGAAAAATAATTAGCGAATATCAACAATGAAAACAAAAAATAGGGTGTTCGTAGAGAAAAATGAAAAAATTCTGTTCGAAATGCCGAAATTAGAGAAGTCATTATTCTAAACATCGATCACCCTGCAAGACAGCTATAGTCTACGAGAGATTTATCACTTTACGTATTTTGTAAAAGTTTAATGAGGCTAGAGTGTATATGTGAGTTCCACATTTTAGCCCCAAAGGGGCTGTGCTAACAAGCTTTTTTATGAAATTCATACACATCTACTGGTTTGATTATTTATAGTTGTATGAACTTTCGCTTAACATTCAATTCGTGTAGATATTCAATATTTGATAGACGCGTTGTTACTTAGTTCAATTTTAATATTTATCTATGTGATAAAAAGCAAAATTTTTCCCATTTGCAACTGAATAAATGAAATGTTTGGTGATGGTGGATAACCTTCATCTAATAAAAATGAAACTGCTATGATTATAATAATAGATTATCAGTTGTATAATATTATCTTTCTGTCTATTCAAATTCTTCTCTAGCAAATATTCCTAATGAAAAAAAAAAAACAATAATAAATTATAGAAGATGAGTCAACATTTAGTTGAGACATTATTTTTTTCAATTATCAATATTTTTTCTTTGGATGAGAGCATCCGAATTTCTACTCTACATAATTCAACACTCGTTTTAGATAGTGTCTTACAAAACTAAGACAAAATTTCTCAGTCCATATTCGAAAATAGTATCCTAACTCAACTACTCGGAAATACTTTGGCGTAGGCCAAAAGTGAACAAAATATCTTGTGTAAAAATTTTTCGCAATAGAAGTGGAAATATTAAAATTTCTCTTCAGCATTTTTCTATATGAAAATCAAAATTTTTGAATTCGTTTTCAAGAAAGAAAAATGAATCTCTTATCAATGTTGTGCAAACTGACTAATAGAAAAAAAAACACAATTAGGTGTTAGGATACTTTTTAGAACCCCTATATGTACAAAACAATTCAGATCAATCAAAAAAGTCTTATATTAAAAATTATAAATTTTATTTATTTTTATCCCAAACGACTTACTTGTATACCAATGTTACCATAACCCACAGGTAAAAATCCTGGTGGTTGTTGTTGTATATTAGGATTATAATTTGCTGGTGGTGGATTAATATTTTGAAGAAATTGTGTATTCACATTTGGATTAAATACATTAGTATAATAATTCGTTAAATTTTGTGGAAATAAATTTGGATTACTCGATGCTGAACTACCTAATATCAAGTAACAAAATAAGAAAGAAATAAAGGTTTGTATTAAAATTCAATAACCTTGTGCAACAACATAAGTTTGTGTAGGTTGATTTGGATTATAATTATTCATATTCACTTAAAAAAAAAGAACAAATAATTTTTTTCTCAATTCGAATTTGAATTTATTTATTATTTTTTTTTAGTACCAAGATATGGATTAAGTGGAGCAATATTGTCAAATGCTTTTGTTGTATTTGGTCCTCGTGGTAACCAAGGTATTCCAGCTGAATTATAACCAGTATTATCAGAATTTACATTTATATATGGACCTGTTCCACCGTAAAAACCAACACCATAGAATACCTAGATAATAGACAAAGCTCCTATTTTGATATATAAATTAGGAAGAAAAACAGTTTTGCGTCATTTTTTTATTTTTCTTGATCAAAAACTGCTGATCATGGGCATTCGAATCATAAGCATTAACGATGAATCGGGTCAATTTTTTTTGAGAGAAATCGTTTTGTTCAATAGAACTAAGTTTAAGAAACTTTTATTATTTTATTGACTTTGCCGTCATCAAAGAAGGGGAAAAGTTTTAAAACTATACTATTAGACGCAGAATTGAACGAGCTTCATTTTATTATAAATATTTTTCAAAAACTATTGGTTAAACTAGTTGAATATTAATTAGAAATTACAGAAAAATCTTGTCGAAATTTTCAGTTTTGAAGTACATCATAAGCAAGAACATTGGAAACTAAACAAAACTGTATATTTTCTGTTTTCTAACAACCAATATTAATGAGATTTTTTAAGTACACTTTTAGCGAAAGCTTCAAAATTTTGAAAAGCAATGGCATTTTGTAGAGTAGAATTTATTTTATCGGATGAGACCAGACAGCTCTTAGTACAATAGGCTATTCATGAGACGATGACAGGACACTTGAACCTGTCATCTGAGCTTCAATAGATTATCAACCGAAAAAATGATGATATTTATAAACTTTATTTTAAAAAAACTAAAATCTAAATCAAGCTCTTACTCTATTGAAACACTATTTTCTTGTAGGATATGAATATTGATTTGGATTTGTGTAGGCTAGAAGAAGATTCACATTTACAGATTAGAAAAGTTCTTAATGAGTTATAGGTGTCGTTAGATATAATAGATTTGTAGTCCGTTCTGAGAGCTATCGAAATCATTCTTTAAATGCCCATTATAAATGGCTTTTGATGAAGAAAAACAAAAGTTGACTTGAATTTTTTTTTCATACTTGAAATGGTAATGCCATAGTTGGTAAATTATTTTGTGGTCGAACATTAGTGATTTGACTTGGATTAACTTGATTAAATTTTTCTTGTGCCATATTAAATATTGTTTGATCATCATAACGACCAGATACAATATGATATTTCCAAAGTAAATTTGGATCTTCATTTCTTCGACTAATACGTGTCATAGCATCATTATTTGGAGCAAATATAGTAAAATCACCAATATTACCTGGTTGTTGAGTTGGGTAAACATCTTGTAATAATCCTTGTAAATCTGGTTGACGAATTAATTGTTGATAAAACTAAATTGTTTTTTTTTTGTTTTTAGTTTATGAATTTGATTAGAGAAAGAAAAAAAAAAAGAATTTTTTTTTGTGTAAAAACTTACTAAACTTAAATCAGGCATTGCTGATATATCCTCAATAGGACCAGCATAACAAACAATAATAATTAAAAATAAGACATATAAATATGAGAGATTCATAGTTTTACAGATTAACTTGAATGTCTAACCTAAATAATATAAAACATATGCATGTTGATGTTCTGTTATTAATCTTTCTTTTCTCGTTTACTAGGTCTTATTTTCTCTTTTTATACTTCTTTGCTTTCAAATCATCAACAGGGTGGAGTAAATAGATACATATATGTATATATAGAACAAATTCTGTAATATAGGACAGAATAGAATAGATTTCATTGTACAGACAGACAGAAAGAAAAAAAATTATATATACAAAGTAGACGTGCAATTGATGGTCAAGCATTGTCGCAAGGGGGAGTTGACCGGTATGATGATGGTGAACTCTATTGTACAACATTTTTTTTTGTTCTACGTTGACATAAAAGTTCAAATCGAACAATAAATGTATACGAGACTGTTGTTGTCTGAACGTGAATAATGATTATATTCTTTTCTCATGAATAATTCGATATGTTGAAATATATTCTATGCACAAAAGAAAATCATTTTCGTTTGCTTTTTATTCTTAAGGTTGCAAGGTAAGAACAACGAAAAAAAAAATATTCTAAATAATTGAAATGTCATCTTATCAATATCGATGAAGAAAAAGGCTACATAATGTCGGCCCTGTCATCAAGTATCCAAACTAAAACTATATTGTCTACAATCAATCTTATCTTGTTCTCTTTGCATATCAAGACAATTACCATTTGTCATCAGATTCATTAATCATCAAACTATCTTTTATTCTTTTTATCAAAATCGACAAAGAAAAAGAAGAAAACTCTATTCAACATAAAAAGTTCGTAAAAGATCTTGATTTGTTTCTCGTTTTCTTAATACTTTGATTTGCTCATGTTCATCTAATGTATATTCTGCTGGTCGTGGTCTCATATTATAATTCGAACTCATAGATGAACAATAAGCACCAATATCAAAAATGGCAACAAAATCTCCACGTTTTAATGTATTTGGTAAACAACGTTGTTTACCAAGAAAATCTCCACTTTCACATACAGGTCCAACAACATCAAATGGTATACGTTCGTCTGTAGAAAAAGAATTAATTGTATCAATATGATGATATGCTTGATAAAGAGCTGGACGAATACATTCAGTCATGGATGCATCCACAACAAGTTGTCTTATTGAACCAGTTCGTTTTTGTCCAAGTACACGTGTTACAAGTATACAAGAATTTGCAATTAAACTTCGTCCAGGTTCAACAATTAATTCTATTGTATAAGGTAATGATTGTAAAGGTTCTTTTATTGATTGTATATAATCTTCTATTGTTGGAATTATAATATCTTCTTCATTATTATTTTTTGTACGTTTAGAAAAACGTTTATAATCAATATTTAATCCTCCACCTATATTAAGTAAACGTAGATGATGAAAACGTTTATTATCAAATAATTTAATTAGTTTTTTAACACATTCAGTTATAACTTGTGTATTTGATATAGTTGAACCTAAATGACAATGAAAACCAAATAAACGTATCCATTTATCATGATTTTCTTCAATTAATTTATAAATTGATTCTAATTCATCAATATTTGTACCAAATTTACTTGTTTTAGATGCTGTTATATTATATTCATGTACATTTGTATCACTAAGATTTGGATTAACTCGTATAAGTACATTAGCTATTTTATTTAATTGACGTGCATATTTAAGTATTACTTCAAGATCAAATAAACTATCAACATTAAGTAAAACACCGGAATCAATAGCCATTTGAATACTTTCATCAGTTTTTCCATTTCCATTATAGATAATAGATGATGGCTAAGAAAAAAAATTTAATTATTAAAAAAATAAATTTTTTTTTTTATTTCATAAACTTACTTCAAAACCATTTGATAATGCTAATTGCATTTCACCACCACTGACTGTTGTTAACATTGTTTTTGCAGATTTTAATATTGGTAATAAATGTGGATTATAATTTGCTTTCATTGAATATGATAATCGAGCACGTATTGGTGCAAGTTTATTGAGTGCTTGTTGATATGTATCAATATTATGACGAAATTGTTTAAGACTATAGAGTACAAATGGTGTTGGTGGTGAAGATAAACGTTCAATAATTTGTTTAACTGGTGTTTGATCAATAAATAATGGTTCATCATGACCTTCTTTATAATAAAATCCATATTTAGTCGTCATTTTGTTTTCTAGTGTACAAATGTTCTCTTATCTTTTATATTTTGTTTCGATTCTATTTTACCTTGAATAAAAATTATTCTTATCTAAATATCATAAGCCTTTAGCTAAAGAAAACTAATTGAAAATGGAAGGACAATTTAAAACAATATTCTATACTTTAGAGAAACAGTAGTTGATATTTAATCAACTTTGATCTCATAGTTTTTATTGTATTTGAGATAACAAAGAAAAAAAAATGATTTTGATCAGATTTTTAATCTTTTTTTTTTGTCAATATAGGTTTACGACAGTTATGCACTTAACATAGAGTATGCGCGACTATCAATTAAATGCAAATGCTTGATATCATTTATTTTACGTTTTAAAAAATCGAATTCATTATTGAGTATTTATTTTAAAATGAAAGGAAAGACTAATAAATAACTAATCTAAGATATATATTGAATATCAGATAATGACTTTAGATTGTGTTAAATATTTTAATTTTAATATATAATAAAATCCTCGATGTTCACATTCTTGTTAATTCAATTTATTAATTTAAAACAAAAATAAATTAAAAAAAAAAAAAAAAAAACAATTCCTACAACAATAACTAACAAATGGCAAATAAAGTATGGGACACTTTCTTTGTTTTGAGCAATATAAACATAATTCAGAGATTTTATTTTTATACTATTCGATAGAGAATTTTTTACTCTATATTTTCATCATGATTTCAAGGCTTCGGAATCATCATATATTAAGTATTAGTAGAAACTATCAAGTGAAAAGTTCTATTATTTTGTGATTGTCATAGTTAAATAACTGAAAATGGTACTTCAATTTAACTAGACTAATTTCCATCAAAAAAAAAATTCACAAATTTTGAAAAAAGTGTTTTCGGAAGCTTCATATCTCGAAGAGATTTTATTTAAAATTTGTGAATTTTTTTTTATAGTTGAGTTCTTTATATGGACAAAATATTTCAGATCAAAATTTAGAAATACGAATTTTCCGAAAACTTAGATCTTCCAGAAAAGAAAAAAAACGATAATTCTCAATAGAAAATCCAATTTTTATTAGAATACTATGTAGTGTCTATAGGTGAAAAAAAAACTTCATTGACATGAGAGAGAGACACTTGAAGAGGTTCTCTCATGAGTAGCTTTTGATCTTTTGAATTTTTCGCTCGATAAGAACTCTATTATATGGTATAAAAACAAAATTTTTCTCAACAATGTTTGCATAACTCAAGAAAAAAAAAACAAATATAAGTGTTCTATTCTTTCTAAAGCCATTCATTATAATATATTGAAGAAAAATCATATGAAATACACACATAATTAATTAAATTTTTTTAAATTGCTTGAATATAATTTGCAGGTACATAACCTCGTTGTCTTGTATCATTAATTTTTTCAACATACCACCATTCTTCATTTTTATTATCATCTGAATGTTGTAAAACTTTTAATTGTTCACCAATTTGTAATGAAAGAACACCATCAATTGTACAATCAAAATTATATAATGCAACGTAGATCTAAATAAAAGATAAGAATTTCAAGAGAAAATATATTTTTTATTATTGATACTCGTTCTTGTTCGTTCGAGATGGGAGTAGTTGAATCATCTAAATCAATTGAAGCATATTGATGTATTTCATCAATTTCACCTGTTGGTGATTGACAATCAAGTTGATTTAAATAAATTGGTTCATTTTCATCTTCTAAATGATTAAAATAAGAATTAATTAAACTTAATTCAGGTTCTTTTTTTGCTCTTGTTAAAGTTTTTCGAGGTTGTTCATAATTTAATCTTGAATTTACACGAGATAATGGAGAACAAACTTGTGAAAATACTGGTATATCATCACGAATTGGTGTTGGTGGTGTAGAAGATATAAGTTCTGACTGATTAATAGATGATAAAGGAATAAGAATAGAACGAGGTATATAACCTCGTGTTACTAAACAAAATGAAAAATAAAAAATCTTCTTTTTCTTAAATAAACTTTTACAACATTGACTAATTCGTACCTCCATTATCAACAAACCAATTTGGATTAATATTATTCTTATCGTGTCGATTAAGAATAATAACAAGATCACCCTATTTAATAAGAGATATTTAGTAAAACAATAAAAAATATATTTTACCATTATTTATTCTATTTCGGATCTTTATTTAACTCATCTAGTTGAAAAATGTGTATAAAATTTATTATGTAGGTCATTTATGTATTTTGATCAAAACTGTTACGTTTCTTTATATATCAGTTTATAGAGCAAGCCTTGTTCTATACAAACTATCCCAATATCTCATTCAGAAGAGTTATAAAGCTTATTTTTTTCTTTTATTGCAAACATTTATTTAAATATTTGTACATAGTTAATCAACCGTCGGCAACAAAAAAAAGATGGTAAATATAAGCAACAAATTTTGCGTATTAACTTCTTCAATGATATTTATGTGTCCGAAAAATGAACACATATATTCTCCAATACTTTTTAATTTAACATTCTGTACCAAACGTCATTAATATTCATCATCAAGCATTTATTTTCAATGAACTAAATTTAAGCCAAAAAACGAAACAATTCTAAATATCTTGTTAAAAAGAGCATGAAATCTTCATTCTAGTTGATTACTTTCTATTCTTTCCAGTGCCTTATAAGTAGACACACACAACGATTAAACATGTTATGTAAAAGACTATTTACATATTGATTATTTTAATAAAAACTATATCAATCAATATACACAATACTTATGTGATTCAAACCGAATGAAAATTATCAGTATTCGAAAAATTAATCGACAATAGTTTGATATCTAAACGGTTGACTATTTTCTAACTGTGAGAATCTCAGTTAATTGTTCACTTCTTCTGTCCACACGTTGTGCATAAGCCGAAAGATAATTATTAGAATTCCTGCTGTGTATAGAACTAGCAAACTTACATAAAATAAACCACCTACCTAAAATTTGACTATTCGTAATATGGAGACGTAGAATTGATATATCAATTCATAAGCTTGTTTATTAAGAATATATATGTTTATATAATAAGCTAACACTGACCGATATTACATGTTTGTTCGTACACCCGCCAGTAGATTGCCGGATGGAGAACAACTATCGGTATACTGCGGGTGAATGGCGATCAGAAAATAGTCGATCGTTTAATTATCAAAGTACCGACTATGATCTGTCGGATCCAAAATTTTCGGACCCGAGATCAACCAGACGGATTTTTATACCGATGGTTTTTTGTTCAGTGTGAATTACAATGAGATTAATTAATAATTTTACTTACATTTTGAACAATAATTTCTGATTTTGAATTAGTTGATTGATTATTACAAGAATTACTAGTATAATCTTGAATAACAATAAATAAATCTTTTTCTGGATAATTATTTTTTAATAAATTTCGAATTTCATCTGTTTGTATATATATTTCCTATTAATAAATATAATAATTTTAAAATACAATCTAATAAACATCAAAGAAAAACAAACTTTATCATAATTATAAAGATTACTCATCAATAGAGATATTCGTGTTGTTGATAAATTTTTTGTCCTTTCAGAAAAATTCTTTGATGTTATTGTTAATTGATTTAATCCTTCAGCAGTTGAATTATTCTTAGCAAAAAAACGATCAACAATTTTTTGCCAATTTAATTGTTGAAAATTAATAGGTGGTATTATCTATTATTTACAAAAAAAAAAAAAAAATTCTAATTAGAATATTAAATAAATGATGTATATATATATATATATTCATACTTGATTAAGTACAATTTGAATATTTGTTCGCATCTGTTGTATTAAATATAAATGTGCACGTATAAATTCTTTTAAACATATTGATAATATTTGACAACTATATTCATATAAAATGGGTAATTCTTCTAATAATTGATTATTTAATAATTCATATGTTTCTTTCGATAAATCAAGTGCTTGTTTAGCCTAGAAATTTTTTTTTTTTTTGTTTGAATAAAATTATAAAAATAAAAATAAATAATTTTCTTTTTTTATATACTTGTTTTAATTGTTGATCTTTAACTTTTTCATAAGTTGATTGAGCACTATCATAATCTAATAATTTTTTATGTCTTTTAGAGATAAGATTTGTTGGTCTAATAAATAATTGTATTAAAGTATTTATTGATTGAACAACACATAATTCAATATGGTTACACTATTTAATAAAAATATTTATTTTAAACTTAAAAAAAAAAACAAGAGATGTATTGAGTTATTTGTCCACTAAGTACTCTGTTACTAGTATGTCACAGGATCTTGTTTGAAGGTACTCTGCTGAGATTTGTCTCAGTTCATGAATACTTAATAGGTATCCATTAGAGTCCATTGGACCCTAGTAACTGTCCAGTGTCTATAGTATTCTAGAAAAGAAATCTTTAAACAAATTATTCGATTGAATATTGAGAAGCATTTCGTAATTATATGCTATAAAGCACAAAGATTCCTGTGATATACTGGTAGTAGTATACCCTGAAGTAGTCAGTACATTTGATAGAAATATGAAGACAAATATACTTACAAATTCTGTAAAAGTATTTTCAAGTAATAAACGTTTTAATCGAAGAAATTGTTGAGCTAAATCAGGTATTTTATCGGTTAATAATTCTTCAAAATCTTCGGCAACATCAACTTGTATTATAAAACTTTCCTAGAAAAACTAAATTGTTTTTTAATTGATCATGAAAATATAAAAATATTCACTGATTAATGTTACTAAAAAATCTTTCAGTTGATATATTGATCGTTAGAACTCTAAAATGATCAGATTATGTAATGAAGAAGTTTTTAAGAAAGACATAAATAATGTTTTCTACTCAAAATATATTACAAATAAGTTTCGGTTATCATAACTAGAAAAAAAAAAGAAATTTCGAAATAGTCCAGAATTTTCTTATATATTACAATGCTGAAATCTAGTAGCGTAACCAGACGAGGGCTCAATCCATTCGTTGGATTCGAAACCAAAAATTTTGGATCCCATGGAGTCCACTTAAAAAGTGCCTTGAGGCTTCTTTAAGCAGGTTCTTCGAGAGTTTTCATCTTCTCTGCAGACATAATCAAACGGTTAAGCTTCTCCTCGTCTAACATTTTTTCTGACTATACCATCTTTTTCGATTTCAACCGAAAATGAAAAAAAATTCAATTCATGTGTTTCTTCTGCAAATTCACCATTTACTCTCTTCAAGTAAAATAAAAGATACTCTTAATAGGATTATTTCATAGTCGAAATTTGTAGTTGAATAAAGACTATATTCATAATCTTCAGCTAATAACTTTTGTCTTCGTTGATTATTATTATAAATGAATTGAATTTAGTACCTTAAGTGCTTCAATACATAAATAAATATTTCGTAGAAATAATCTTGAAAATTTTTCAATAGCACGAAAACGTTGTTCTTGAAAATTAAATTGTTCATCAATTGTATGTGCTGATAAACCAAATGCACTTGATAAACGCATACTTATTCGTGCAGATTTTTTTTTCATTGTATGAATATTTAATTTATAAAATTTATTTGTTAATGTTTCATCCTTTTCATGTCGTTGATATTTTGAAACTACAATAGACTGTTGTTGTTGTTGACGTTGAGGAAAATTTATTTTCTTTGATGATGATAATTTTGGTAATGGTGGCATTGATGTTGAACGTCGAAATACACTTACATGATATGGTTCCATATTATCTTCATTTACATTAGCATTACTTGTACTTTGTACAAGTATAAAACGTGTTCGTTTTGTCAAGGCCATTTTATTTATATACGAGAATACAAAAGAAAAACGAATGCATTTTTTTTTGTTATATGATGAAATTGAAGATACATGGCGTCTCAAATTGTATATATGAAAGTGATTATGCAAAAACTGTTTGTACATTTTTCTTTCTATGGTTATTTTTTTTTTGTTGTTCTTGTATCTGCTCATACATGTCAGTAGAAGAAAAAAAAGTTCTTCTCTTTTTTCGTTTGTCCCTGGCTCTCGTTCTCTTTGGCTGTTCACAAGGACATTTTAATGCTCAAAGTAAACATAGTATAAGAGTGATTGAGGGTCAATAGGAATATGCTTGAACATACACAAGTATATATATATGGATTGACTCCTTTAAGGCACGTATATATATATATATATATATGATCGATATTGATATTAAAATATGAAGAACTAAATTAACTTTTTGAATATAAAGTTTACGCAAACTTTTATTATAGAAGCTTGTTATGCACTATTCCATATTGAAGTAGAAAAAAAGATTATGAGAATTACTTTTTTCTTTTTACATGATTATATAATTATTGTTTTGAACTGACGGACTTGTATATTAACTTATGATTGATGATGAATGCAAAAGAAAAAGAATCATTTCGATGTATATTTTCAAGGAGCTTATTATGATAAGATGAATAAAACTTAAAGACATAGAAAAAAAAAAAAAAATCTCTATTGTAAGTTTTTATTCTTATATTAAATTAAAATTCAAGTATACTCAATTGTTCTCGTAGGATATTTCAGTCTATTGACAAGTTAATTATAAATAGAAAATTTGCTATTGTGATTTTTTAAGTATTAATTTAATTATTATTTAGTATTATATTCATATGAATATCTTGAATAATGTAATCAATTATTATATGTAAGGATTAGCTTGAAATCGTCAAGAACGAAAAAACAATATAAAAATTTATTACAACACACTATATCGATATGTAAATAATCATATGAAAAAGATTATATGAGATAATTAGAAAAAATAATTTTCATGTAAACTAATAATATAAGTGTATAATTCGATATGTTATGAAAAATATTTATATTAATGTTCTCAATGCTTTTTCGTATTATTATTATTATACTGTTGAATGAATATTTTCATAAGAATAATAAATTATTTTCCAAGTGGAAATCTTGAAGAAAAATCTCCTGGGAAATTTCGTTTTAACCATATTATTGAAACCATTTTGAATCACAGTGATTGTTATATATTTTTATATATTAATAATTCATTATTGTTTTCTAGAATGTCTTCTATTATCAGTAAGTATATTTATATTTATTTCTATCGAAAAAAAAAAAGTCATTGCAACAACAATATTATATTTTCAAATTGTAAAAACTTGTTCGATCAGTTTTCATTGATCTGAAGGTTATGGACGTTTCTTTTTTTCTTTTTTGAGTAATTGCTAATGCATAGCAATAACTGGAACAACAACAGCAGCTGATGCTACATAGATAATAAAACTCCATTAACTCCCTACTAGAAGAGAAAAGATTTTTTTTTTTACTCCTAAACGGTATATTAGCATTAGATAAACATTTGTAAACTCGCATATGTTGATCGAAACTAAATGATCTATGACCAATTATTTTTCGAAATGAAGGGAGACATTATCAAATTAATGTCATAAATGAAATAAAGCAAAAATATCTAGAACATAACGAATGAAATATTTTCTTTTGAAGATATACAGACAAATATTGTGGTTTTTTTGTACAGATAAAGAAAAGCTTCCTATATAACAAACAAAAAAAAAAAAAAAGATTTTTTTTTTTTTTCAATAATTCTCAGTTCATTTGTGGTGGTGGTGGTTGTTGTTGTTGAGGAGGAAGAGGAGCTTGTTGCTGTTGAGGTGGTGGTGGACCATAATCATAACCTTGCGGTGGTGGATAATATTGCTGTTGTGGAGGTCCGGATACACCCGATGGATCATAAGGTGGATTTTGTGGATAACCATATTGTTGAGATGGATGTGGAGGTGGTGGTGGGCCACCATTCCAACCAACTGGACCACCACCATAACCATAATTAACACCATTGACATACATTTGGGGTGGTGGAGGACGCATTTGTGGTGGTCCTTGTTGTTGTTGTTGCATCATACTCATTTGTTGTTGTTGTTGTTGTTGAGGTGGAGGTTGATTTGGTGGCCATGGTTGTTGTTGTTGTGACCATTGAACATTAGGAGGATATGGATTGTAATATCGAGGATCTTGAATTAACAAAAAAAAAATTTTTTAATTGGTATTAAGTTAAAGTAACGAGTGCAACAGAATAAATGGGTGCATTTCATATTTTAGCTTTTCATCACCTAATACGTTTGGGTAAAAAACATGGAGAAATTTTCTTTTTTTGGGAGGTATATGATGAATTTCTTTTCTTATGAATCATAGTTATTAACTTTATTCAATTGATCATGTTTCGTAATTGTTTAACAATTTGAACTTATGTCATCAATCATTCTCATAATCACCTTTTATAAGTTTTCAGATTTCATTTCTTCTTATTAACTAACATACTTATACAAATATGCTTTGTTATTATGAAGTTTGTATGTCTCTCTAATAAAATGACATTTAGTATTAGAAGAAAAAAAGATACAATCAAAAAACATATCAATTGTGTTTGCAATCTGCCATCGATTATAACCTTCCATATGACGCATTAATCGAAAATGTAAGAAAAGAAATTCGTTGTGTACCGAGAACAAAAAAAGTAACTTTTAGGCAGTATCGAAAACTAAATATATATATATATATAGAAAATAAACTTTGTATTATAGTCTATCACACTGCATTTTATGGTATATTTCGTTTTTTAATAGAACATATTAGATGATGAGAAAATAAAATACAAAATGTGGTTATTTATTGTGGCTAATTCGTTAAATTACTATAAGTATATGATAAATATATGAATGAATTGCAAATTTTTGGTATGTAAAAGTAAGCTTAAATAATTTCTGACTATTAGTATATACTTTATGCTTGTGTTAATCGATAAAATACTTCATTGAATATTAAGAGAAATAAATGTTGTAGAGTTTAATTTTTGCTTAATAAAATTAACTTTACTCATTGAAAAGATTCTTCATTATTAGTTAATACTTTTATTAAACCCAAATTTCGAAAGAAAAAAAGAAAAAAATTTACTATGATTATTCTTTGTATGAATAAATTATTTTGATCATAAAAAGTGCTTAGAGCATAGAGATCAGATTGAACTCTTTTCTTTCTGAGTACTTTAGTTAAATTGAAGTGCGTGTTTTCTTTCTATTCTTCAATATGTTATTCCTACAAAATTCGGTACTCTTTAAGAAATTAATACCATTGAATAAAACAACATGATTTTTTGATGATGCTTCCAGTATTTTGCTTTTCCGGAACTCTAGAAACGACATGTTTGAAGAAAAATAAAATATAGCTCGATAAAATGAAGTATAGAATTTTGTCACAGAGGAGAAAACTTCTGGTCTGTGGTACCTCAATATCTTCCTGAAGTAAGCATGTAGGAATTTTGAATATATGATAAATTTTGTCAAGAGATAATTACCATATGCATTAGGTTGCCATTGTTGTTGTTGTTGTTGCGGTGGTGGAGGTGGTTGTTGTTGCTGTTGCCATTGAACATTCGGTGGATATTGTGCTGGACGTTGATTCATTGGTGGTCGATATTGTTGAGCTTGTTGCGGATGACCATAAGCAGATGCTGGTGGATAACCACCTCCTTGATGCATCATTGGATAAGGTTGATGAGGAGGTGGTGGTTGTTGTTGTTGTTGTTGTTGTGGAGGTGGAACTTGTTGCGGTGGTGGTAACTGCTGCATAACAGGCGTTGGGTGTGGCGGAGGTGGTGGTGGTGGTGGTAAATGAGATTGCGTAGGTTGAGAAGGTGCCATTGGAGATTGTACAGGTTGTGTTGGTGGCAATGGTGTTGGCATATGTTGTGATGATGGTATAGAAGGCATTTGAGTTGGTGGTATAGGTTGAGGTGGTAATTGAATTGGAACAGATTGTGCAGGTGGTATTTGAGCTGGTACAGGTTGAGGAGGTAATTGAGTTGGAAGAGGATGTGAAGGTGGTTGTTGTGGTGCTATTGGTTGTTGTGGAACTTCAACAACAGTAGGTGGAGGTTCAATTTTAGTTGGTGGAATGATAGTTGGTGGTGGAATAGTTGGAGGTGGTTGTTGTTGTTGTGGTGGTGTTGACGAAGCTTGTTGTTGCGTTTGTTGTTGTTGTTGTTGCTGTTGTTGTTGTAAAAGTAATTGTTTTTCTTTTTGTAATTTTTCCATTGTTTCATATTTTTGTAAAATTTCATTAATTTTTTCTCGACTTAAATTCATAGTTGAAGCTTCAGTATATTCATTATAAAATTTATCATTTGATTCTAAAAATTTACGTTTTTTTTCTGCATGTTTTTCTTCTAATTCATTTAAATCTTTTTCAAATGTTTCACGATGTGTTTTAAGTGCATCAACTTGTCGACGTAATGTTAATATACGATCAACATTTATATTTGATCGTAAATCAGGTATACATACTTCATTAAATATTTCACATAATAAACGTTGATTACGTTGAAAACGTGCTGCTGCTACATGACGTGATGAAAAATATATATCATCAGTTTCATCATCATCTGTTGATGGTTCGATTGTAAATGATGAATTATTCATATTATCAATAGGACCCGGAATATTCGGACGAAGATATGGAGCTTCATGATCATCATGACCACGAATATTTTTATCTTAAATCAAAAAAATTTTACAAAAAAAAATAAAAATATTTACAAAAATCTTACCATGAATACTACGTGACATAGGCCATGCTTTACGACTATAACGATTTGAATATGGCATTGAATTTGATTTATCCATAGGATTCATACCAACACCAGAAGATTTCATTGGACCTATTGAACCACTTGATCGCATTGGTGATGGTGATGATGATAGACCCATATTAGGTCCAATAGATGTATTGCCTGAACTAGAACCACTTATAAGACCATTACTTATTCGTTTTGATGATGTTGATGATGATGACGGTGGTGGTGGTGGTGGTGGTGGCGGTGGTCGAGGATTAAAACCAGGATGACCATGTGATGAAACAAGAAATGGCCCTGAATTTTGTGACATTCGATAAATATTTATAATAATAGATAAGAATGTTCAATAGAAAAAAGAAGGAGCAGAAGAATTGAACAAAAAACAAATCAAAGTCATTATTATTAATTTAAATCGCTAATATCAACGTATAAAACAACATTGTTATTAGCGACAATGCCATGATATTCTTTAGTTTTTTCCAATGAACATATATTGAATTGTTGTACAAATAGATGTCGTACAAATACAGTAATCATAAACTTTTTTCAACATTATTTATATTGTTGTGCTTGTTCAAGTGCATAAATTCTAATCATTATGACATTGGAATCTCATATATATCAACTACGCTTCGCCTAATCCTTTCTCGTTGAATTGAGCACGATTCGAATCGGATCGGATCGACTCGGCTCGTTTTATATCCATCCGTTTGTTTCTCGTCGCTCCTACTCCTCCTTCTCCTTTTTCTTCTTCTTCTTCTTCTTCTTCTTCTTCTTTGACTCAACTAGCGATTAGTATCTCAAATAATTCACAATAATATAATAGGAAAAAAGAAAAACGCGAACAAGGAAACGAGCACCAGACGAGAAGCGGTGTTGACGTAAACAAGCATATGTTGTTAAAAAAAAAAAAAGAAGAAAGGTCAAGAAAGTCTTTATATTTGCTCAGCACATAATGTTTTTTTTTTTTGATAAATAATCGCTTGTCAATTTTGCACTAAACTAATTTATTTAGCATTCGAATTATGGCTGACGTTCCAGACATTTGTATCACGATAGGTAGCATGTCGAGAGATTAACTGTTAGCTTTCATTATTAATGATGATAGGCATGTGACCGACTGATGATACTATGTCAATGTTGTTGCCCAACAAATAGAAAATATAAACTTGAAACATAAATTCTCTAGAGATCTATAAGTATAGTTGGCCACTTGTGACTGTTTTTTAATTCTTATCGTGTTTTGCTGACGTCGATAAATAACAATCAAAAAAAAAAAAAAAGAAGGAAAAGAAAGCGAGAGTAAGAGAGAGAGAGAGAGAAAGAAAAGAACACAATGATTTATCGAATAATTGACTGTTCACTTTGTTTTTTTTTTCTTCTGTTGACTTAAAACCAACTGTGTATGTGTATTTATGTGCGTGAGTACTGGTACGATTAGTTCGAAGAATAAGTATATAGTGAACAAGTAGAATGTTGACAATACTTTAGGCTGCATTGCATGATTATGATTAATTGATTGATAAATCTCGCTGGGCGGACATAACGAAAGCAGAAGATAGTAACAATAGTACCACCAAGGGCAGACAAAACCTCTATAAGCACATTTAGAATAGAAGAATATTATATATAGATATATACATATATATATATGTATGTATACATACACACTGCCATTCATCCATTCATTGATCTAGAATGGCATGAAAGAAAAACAGAAAAGACAAGAGCAGACCAATTCTGGAAACATATATAATGACATCCAAGAAGTAGTCTAGGCTTGATCGTCCAACCATTTGCTAAAATAGTGGTGATGTTGTTGTTGTGCTTCTCATATGGCACACTGTTTGTTATTGTTGTTATCATTGCTGTCACTACTGTTTCTTGAGAGCGTCAGCAGTTAAGCTAGCTAAAATACTTTCGTCACATAATTAGAAAGAAGACTAATCTAGACATTACGTCTAAGGATAGTATCCTGTCTATCATCTTACAATGGTCTTTAATAGACTTTTGTCCTTTCCTTGCATTAACAAAAATACAGTAATAGAAACAACAGAAGAAAAAAAAATTCAAGTATCTTCCATATCGAACAGATGGTGACACTTCTGTTTCTATCATTTTGTTATTTACCAATACGATAAATCGATGTAATCATACATTGACCTCTATTTTTTTTTTGCTTCTAAATACTATCTTTGATCAGCTTTTGGTTTTTGTACACAAGCATTGATATATATATATATATATGTTCTTTTTTTCTTTTCGCTTGATGTCACAATGTCCGTTCAATAATCAAAATTATTCTCAAATTCCAAAAGGCATTATTACTACTCGAGTCTAGCAGATGATGAATGTAGAAAGGAGAAGAAAAAAGGGAACATAAAATAAGAGTGACTAGAGAAAAAAAATAGGAAACAGAACAAGAAAAAAAATCAGTTCGTTCGCTTTTTATTCTGGTTGAGCATTCGATGACGAGTAAACGACACGAGAAAGAGAGAGACAGCACATGTGGCTTGAAGGTTGTCGTGCTTGACGAGATGACGACAATGTTAGCAATAGTAGTAACAGCAGAAAAAAAAAACGAGGCTACCGGAAAATAATCATAATGGAACACACACATATACACATACACACAAAGGTCTCTCCAGTTCTCCTTCATAGCGTTTGCTTGATGCACGGCCCATGCATCCAGCATTGATTGAGATATCTTGTCGCTTTTCTTCTATCTACAACGAGTTCTTTCTCTCTCTCTTCAGCTCTTCTTCTCAATGTTCTATATCTCGCATCGTCCTCGTTTTCTTCTTTGTCTGTTGTTCCTGGCAGCCGTAATGTTTCTTCGAATTGACACTCACCAGAGCGGTAGCAGAATTCCTCGTCTTTCTATTCTTCTTCTTTTGCTTCTTCTTCTTCTTCTTCTTCTTCTTCTTCGTGTTTGCTTTTTCTTTCTTGTTCTATTGTCCGTTTCTTACCATCTAACTCACACGATACAAATACGAACGTGTATACACATTCACCGACTTTCTTTTGTGTCGTTTTATTTTTTATTTTTTTATTTTTTTTTTTTAATAGTTTTTCTTTTTTCTTTCAAGATATTATTTGTATTATGCTGATGATAGACGACGAACATCTGCTCTTCTATGAAATTTAATGTTTTGTAATAACAATCGAAATAACATCAGCAAGACGCTATTCATTGTTACGAATCAAGTAGAGAGGTGCAAATAGTCGCACAGTAGGTTTGTATTAGAAATTAGCAATTATCAATATGATTATTTATTATTTCTTGATCGGCTTCTTTTTTCTTCGATTTCTCTATATGATTTATGTTAGTCTTTATATAAAATTAATGGATATCTAAATAAGAAAAAAAAAAAAAAGAAGAAGACATATCTAATGAGAAGAAAAGAAAAGAAAAGACTCAGATGGAAAAATAAGATGACGAAGAAATATACATCAATGATGAACATATGTTTAATGTAAACAGAAAAAATTAGATCTTATTACATATGTACAAGATTTATATCAATCTGCATTAGTATAAAAGCATTCGATACATAACTACATAGTCTAATCGAGTCAATTTTATATAAGATGTTATTCATTTCTAACATTCATTTAGTCTCAATAATTTCAACAGTTTATTTTAGCTTATTATTAGAGCATTAACATTGCTATGATATTCAATGATAATAGTATAATAAAAAAATATATTTTTTATCATTCAAGGTAACAAAACAATAAATATAAAATGGCTAGTGTAGCTGCATGGCTTCCATTTGCTCGAGCAGCAGCTATTGGTTGGGTTCCATTAGCCAAAAATCCTTTACCACCACCACCATTTCGCATTCCAACCGATGGTACATCAACAAGTAGTGGTGGTGAGCGTCGTTGTGATGAAAAAATAATAATAAATGTTAGTGGTCGTCGATTTGAATGTTGGCGTTCAACATTAGAAAAATATCCTGATTCATTATTAGGTTCAAATGAAAAAGAATTTTTTTACGATGAAGATACACATGAATATTTTTTTGATCGTGATCCAGATGTATTTCGTATAATATTAAATTTTTATCGTACTGGTAAATTACATTATCCAAAACATGAATGTATTGCTGCATATGATGAAGAATTAGCATTTTTTGGTATATTACCTGATATTATTGGTGATTGTTGTTATGAAGATTATCGAGATCGTAAACGTGAAAATAATGAAAGACTTATTGATGATCGTCTTCATGAAGATGATGATAAAGCCCAACCAAAACCTCAATCAATACGTGAAACAATGTGGCGTGCATTTGAAAATCCACAAATATCAACAATGGCATCTGTATTTTATTATGTAACAGGATTTTTTATTGCTGTTAGTGTTATTGCTAATGTCTTAGATACAGTATCATGTGGAACGGATCCTGAAACTGGTTATTCAAGATCATGTGGTGAACGTTTTTCTCGTCAATTTTTTTGTCTTGATACAGCTTGTGTTATGATTTTTACTGTTGAATATTTTCTTCGTCTTTATGCTGCACCTGATCGATTGAAATTTGTTCGATCTGTTATGGTAAGAAGAAAAGTCTCGAAAAGTAAACAAAACAAAAAAAAACGAAAATTTTGTTTGTTTTTTTCGTTTAGTCTGTTATTGATGTTGTTGCTATAATGCCATATTATATTGGATTATTTATGCATCAAAAGGGTGAAGTTAGTGGAGCATTTGTAACTCTACGTGTATTTCGTGTTTTTCGTATATTTAAATTTTCTCGTCATAGTCAAGGTTTAAGAGTATTAGGTTATACATTAAAAAGTTGTGCTAGTGAACTTGGTTTTCTATTATTTTCATTAACAATGGCTATTATTATATTTGCTACTGTTATGTATTATGCAGAAAAAAGTGTTGTTCATACAAAATTTACATCTATACCAGCAGCATTTTGGTATACTATTGTTACAATGACAACACTTGGGTAAGATCGAACATATACATATATATATAAATGAGTACAAAAATAACTGTGAGAATGGATAATAAGAATCCTGGGGACATATGACCTTATTTGAAAAAAAAAAACCTATATATAACTTTCGATTAGATATGGATTTTTGAAGGTCATGCTTAGAAGAAAATGATGAGTTAGAATTGATTGATTTCATCTTGAAATTTATTAGTGAAACGATCCGTTGATAATTGAAAAATTCTCTTGTTTTCTTTCGACCTTCATTAATAATATGAAATTCTATTAAAAAGATAGTTTTATTCATATAATATTGTCTCTTTGCAGTTGTTAATATACTAAATACATTATTAAAAAAAAACTATTCGAATCATTAACGATACATAACTTGCCCAAGGTCAATCTATAACTCGATTATGCAGAAATTCCCATAAGGTGTATGTAATGTTAGTAATTTTGGCTAATTTTATCTATAATATAGAACAATGACGAGAAAGTATTTTCGACAATAGTCTAATATTGTTACGAGAATACTTTTTTTTTATGTGCGAAAATTGATTCAATACATTTGATTGTAGCTCATTGTTTATTTGATTAAGTCGAAACAAAAACTTTTTCTCTATTATACTGTTTTGTACTATCATGCAAGGCAAGAAATTGTTAGATGAATGGGAATAAAACTGATCATATCAATGCCTCAGGATAGAAAATATGTGCGAACTCATCAATTTAATGTATATTTGACGACATTTTGACTATTGTGTTCGGAATACTAATTACAAGGATAATTATCTCAATATTAATAACTAAGTGTGTTAAAAGACACAATTTATCATGATACCATACCGATGATATAAGCACGAATATTATATGTGTATATGCCTAAAATTTTATCTCAAGGTCAAAATGACCTATTCTCCGTACCTATTTATATCTGACATAAATATGTTACATATTAAAGAAATAGAACTATATTATTATAATAATATACTTAAATAGATAGAATAATTTATTTTTTCTTGATTACATTTATAAACAATGTAATTTAGAATTTGATGATATTCTTTTAAGATTTTAAATAAATCTCGATTATATATAATGTTTTTAGATATGGTGATATAGTACCAAAAACTTGGTAAGTCAAGAAACAAATCCGACAATTAACATAAAATGAATAATTAATCTAGGGCAGGCAAAATTGTTGGTGGTGTATGCAGTTTAAGTGGTGTACTTGTTATTGCTCTTCCTGTACCTGTTATTGTATCAAATTTTAGTCGTATTTATCATCAAAGTCAACGAGCAGATAAAATGAAAGCTCAACGAAAAGCACGTCAAACACGTATACGTTTAGCACGTAATGCAACAAGTAATGCATTTATTGCAGCTAAACGACGTCATGAACAATATCGTGATGATCCAAATGCTCATATTGATAAAAATCTTGTTAATCCATTTGAACTTCAACATCATCATTTACTTCGTTGTTTAGAATTAACAACTGTATGAAAAGAAAAAATATTTTCTAATTGATAAATTTATTAATATTATTGTTTTTTTTTTTTTGTTTTTTCTATTTTTCTAGGATAGAGAATTTGTTGAAGTTGGTCCAGATATATTAATGAGTAGTGGTGGTACAAGTATTGTACCTGGTGGTCATGCGGCTACTGGCATAGGTCGTTTAAGTTCACCAGCTAGACATTTTATTTTAAATCGTCGAAAATGGCGATGTTGTGGAGTAGGACGAAGAAAGAAAAATTCATATAAACATGATATGGTAAGTTAAAAATATTATATATGAATTTTTTATACTGTTTAAAATAATTATCTTACGAATTTTCAATAGTATTTTGTAGTTATTTAGTTTTATGATACATTATTCGTATGAATGAGATCAATAGATATTTTTGAGATTGAATTCAGATAATCTATCTTATAAAGTAAGATTTATTCTAGATCAATAATTTTTCGATCCGATAATATCTAATTATTTGATAAATATGTAGGAGGATATGCGCTAGTCAACTAATATCAAAAACTGGAAAAAAAAAGTAGCTTATAAACAATTTCTATTAGAACATTTCATTGAGAGAATAAAAGTATGATTTGAAAAAATTTTGTTTCATCATATTCGGATTTTATGAACAAAGATTATATTAAAAGATAATAATTAGTTTCGATTATGTGTATTACTCTTACTATTTAAAAGTTTTGTTTTTAACATTTTCTATTATTTATAATTTTCATTAGACAATAAAACGTACTAATAATATATCTAAATGAAAATTATTTCTTTTTCTTTTTTTTTTGTATTTTTGTTATATTTGATATGATTTATTTTATATAATGAAAATTTTTGTGTTTATTATTTTAAAAAGGATCGTGCTAATAATAAAACTGCAAATGCAAATGATGATGAAATAGATGAAGAACTTGGGGATTTTCAATTACCTGTTTCATTAACACCACGTGATTCATTAACAATAAGTCATCCTGTTAGTACAACAAATGTGATACAACATCAAACATTAGGTTCATCTTTACAACATAATGTTGTACTTCATTCCAATATAAATGAATCACCAAAATTACCAACAAATCGTTTTGATTTAGATTCATCAATAACTAATGACGATAATAATCAAATAAAACAGCAACGAAATAGTTTAACGACTGTTTATGAACAAAGTTCGACAAATGATTTATTAACAGATGATTCACAATATATAAAATCATCAAAAAATGTTTGTAATATAATACAAAAAAGAACAACTGATGATAAACAAACGGTATGACAGTGAATATGACATTTGCCAATATCCCTGTGTTGTTGTTTTCTTTATCTTCTTTTATTTTTTTTTTCTCTTTTCGTCCTTGAACACACATACCACACATAAATATGCCATATATCTATGCACTCTAGTCACCTATCTTGCGCAAATCCCTGTGTGTAAATAAGAAATATTTCTCACTAATGACAATCATTGTCGAAATGAAAGAAAAATAAACAAAATTATTTCTTTCTATTTTATTTTTATGTATTTGTTGTCTTCTAAATTATTATTCTTATTATTGCTTCCTTTTCTTTTCTTTTTTTGTTTGTGTATATGTGTCTCAAATTATGAGAATTTTTTTTTTTTCTTTTCTTTTCTTTTTTCTATACAATACAACGAAAATATTAAAAAAAAAAAGCACAGTTTCTTTTGTCTACATATATACAAATTTAATCTGTTTTAAGACGTTTTGTATTATTATCATTACCATTATCATCACCATTGGCTGAAATTGATCGTTTGGTTGTTTTGAACATTTCTTCAAGATAAGCTAAACGTTTACTTTGTTCTTTTAATTTATTTTCAAGATCTATCCATTCTTGTTTTGGACGTGAAATCATTTCTTGATCTTGTTTATCATCATTATCATCATCAAATGTAAGACCTTTATTTTTATCTTTAACTAATAAACTATCAATAGTTGTTGGTGAAACAGGTTCTTCAGATTCAATTAATTCACGAGTATCAAGTATTTCTTCTTCAGTTTCACTTTTACTTGGATGTGAATATGTTGCTAAATGTATTGAACTTTTACGATAACATTTAGTACCAAATGTACAAATTGGTTTTGTTTTCGATTCATTTTCTGTTGTTTTAGATGTTTGTGTTGATGATGAATGTTGATATTGTTTTAAATGATCAGGATTTGTTCGATAACAATTTGCACCAAATTGACACATTTTACGTGTATCCGTAGTTTTTGATGATGTTGATGGTTGTGTTACTTCATCATCATCTTCATCATCTGATGTAACAATTTTTTTTCCAGTAGCTACATCACGTGATGGTATAACAGAAAATAATATTGAATGTTGTTTTGATAATTTAGTTGATGGTATCACTTTTTGTATTACACTCATAGGTTTTTTTGTTTTAGCTGCTTCAAGTACATCATTCCATGTTAAATCTGTACGAACTCGAAGAAAAACAGGAAATCTTGGATGACCATTATTTGATAATTCTTGAAATTTAAATGTTATAATTGAACCTATTTTAGGTGCCTTTCGACGTTGATCCATAGTAAGTCCACTACCAACATCGAATCGTTTTCCATTAGTTAATTCACATTCAAGTGCACCAACCATTCCCACTAAACTTTTACTAGGTTTATGACCGATGACAAGTGCTTCTAAAAATGATAAATAATTGGTTTTATTTTTCGTGTGATTATTATTGTTATTTACCTTCATCATGAAAAGTTTTTACTTTGAGTAATGTTGTTGAACGTTTATGTTCATAAAGACTACCTGGTTTACGAAGCATAATACCTTCTCCACCAGCTTTATTTACATCAGCTAAAAATTGTTTGAGTTGTGCTAAACCTTCACATTTTTTAATTCCGACTACGGTAGCAAAACATTTATCATCATCTTGAGGAATATTAGCTTGTAACCATTTCATACGATCTTCATATTTTCCACCATGACTTGGTGCATCGAAAATCAAATATGTCAAAAGTTTATAATCATCCGGAACGACTTTATCTGCTTGTTTTTTAACAATACTAACACACTTTTGAAATAAACCACGGCCGCACCTAGATAGAAACGAAGAAAAAAAAAACGTCATAATAATCTACTAAAAGTAAAATAAACTTTTACCAAATTTCTCCGTCGAGTGGTACTTTTGGTAGAGCAGCCTTGAAAAAATCAGGAGCATGAAAAAGATTTCCTTGACGTGAATAAAAATTTTTTCCATTCCAATATGCTCTAAAATATATTTATAAAAAAAAATTCTCATTTTTTTTTTGTCAATAATAAATTCTCATACCGAACACCATCGAGTTTTTCACTCATCCACCATCCAGTTGGATCAATATCTTCTGTCCATGTTTCAGCAAGAAGTACTTTTGCAGCGTCACTACACATTATTAATAAAACTGTTCAAGATTTTACAATTTATGATAAAAAATGTTACAAAACTTTTGTATATATATACCTTTTTTTTCTTTTATTAATTTAGTATATTTATTCTTACATATTGGTTGTGCAAGTACACAACCACAAACAACAGAACAGAACAGAACACAACAAACGCCTACTGGCAGCATGAGGAGAATAAAAAAAAACCATGCGACAGAACTGTTTTGCAGAAAAAAAAAATTTTTTTTTTTTTTTTTGTTTTGCTTATGAATTGATAATAATCCAACATATAATTTTATTAGTTTTATTTTCAATGTATTCTCATGACCAAGCTAATCGCCCTTTATTCAATATTAACGAAACAAATCATGATAGAGAATACTCACAACAATCGTCTACTCAATTATATACAAAACTACAAAGTAAATCATTCAATGACCTTGTCATTTTGAATTGAGTGATATGCATATCTATGTGCTTAGTAAACTAAAATTTCAGATGAGTTTTTTTTTTTTTTCTTCATGTTCTCTATAGACACATACAGAGAGGGAAAGATAGAAGAGTCATGTTCGATGGTCATTATTGATATGATATCGAATCGATTGAATAGGGATTGGTATCAAACAGTAGGTATGAGAAGATTTTTTTTTTTTTTTCATTTACAAAAATGAATAAATATGTTTCAGTTTGCTTTATTAATCAATGTAAATATTCACTTTTTTTCTATTAAAAATTGTAGAATGAGTTAAAATAAGTGGATTTGCTTCAAGAATAAAAATAAATGCAGTCAAAAAAGACTTCAGATGAAATTTTTTTGTTTATTTTATTTTAAGAAAATAATACAATATTCACACTATTTCTCTTTATCATTCAACATTCGATTTCATCAGAGTTATAAGATGGTTCGACATTTCATTTTTGATTTTATTAACTAAAAAGGAAAGAATTCAATAGTTTTATTCAGTATCTAACCTTTCGGTTAGTTTACATTGATTATGTTGTATTAAACATAAAAACCAACAGGACTTATGGATATTGAACTTTGTCAAGGTGATTTATGTAAGTCGAATAATAACATTTAATAGAGAAAAAATACATGTTTCAGTACTACGTAATCTTTCAGATGAATAAATTTTATATGTGTACGTGTATCATTAAACATTTATATGAAAATTTTCTTTTTTTGCAATTTCTATCCTTGTGACATATCAAACATATCTAAAATTATTCAATTTAGATTTGTATATGCATAATTCAATGACATAATTATCATGAGTCGTTATAGGTTATTTCTTTCGGAACGGATCTACATTCATAGAAGTTCATTAATTATTATTTCAAAAAATTTATTCAATGTTTGATCAGATTATCTTAAAAAATGTTAAATTCTACTAAATCATATATGGAATTGATTTCTAATTTTAACATAAGATAGAAACCAAAACTTCTATGAATAATACAAGTTTTGTTAGTAGAATATTTCATATACATCCTTTAATAAAAAAAAAACAAAATAACATTTCATAAACTGGAATCTATTGCAAAAACAATAGTAATTATCTCGAGAAACCATATATAAACTCAATCTTATATTTACTTTGTTTATTGGAATTATATCATGCTATAGAAACATGGCAGAAAAACCTAACTACTCGAAGATTCTGAAAATCAACTGAAGAATAGTAGTTTATCGGAAGATAAAAACAAGCAGTTTTCGAGGCACATTCGATGCTGTGTAATCTGTTTCATTTAGTTTCCACTGAGAAGAAGTAGAGAAAAAAAGAACATTTCCCTAGGGAGTAGCAACCGCCGCTTTGCTCCCCCCCTCCCTAAATCCTCCACTAAAAAATTAATTAAAAAAATAATTCCTACTTTTGCACTAACGGCTAAATATCGTGCAAGGAGAAATTATTCAATCTCTTTCAGAGAAAAAAACACTATTTATAATGAGTACTATTTATAGAACAAACATTATTATAAAATATGTGTGTTCTATACTCTTTTAATATGACAAAAAAAAAAAAAATTCATCAAAATTTAAAAATGATATTACTCAATAGCGAAATGAACAATACTTGTAGTTCACATATTACTCTTTCCAATAGACAAAAAAAGAAATTTCATTTTAATTTAAAAGTCAACAGAATTTAATATTTTTTTTTTTTCGCATTAAATATTACAGAGTTTGTAGAGTCAAGTTATTTTACTCATGTTTTTGTTTTCTGTTTATTTTTATTTAAAGAACGTTAATAACAAACTTTTTCATCATACGAGATTTTGTTTCTACTCTTTAGCGTAAAGAAAGAAGTATTTTTTAACATTTAAATTAATGTCTTATTGTCGTTAAAATGCAAATATTAGTTTATTGAAAGTGTGAACGATGCAATTCCATTAAAAAAATTCTTCGGAGAAAACATATGTTCTATTGATGCTGATAAAGCGGGAATATAAATTAATTTTTATTATCAATTATTTTTTCGACTTTTGTTTCTTGAATGAGAATGACTCAAGTGAAAGTCTTTAAGGGCACATCATTGCCTTTCATAACCGAAAATTGTTTGTAGCTATTTTATAGCCTGATGTGATATCTATCTAATGAATATATTTTCGCACCCAAAAGTTGTTTTGGAACTTTAAAAAATTACCATTTCCTCTATTCTAGTACGTCTGATCGAACTGGATTTTTTTTTCATAATATACTATACACTGTTTCGGATAGGTACGTTCTTCTCAAAAAATATTGGTCTTCTGATGTTTGATAGCTTTATTTAACAAAAAAAGAATATGTATTTTGTAGAATATCTTCGATATTTTGATTATTTTATTCGAAGAACAGAAGAAAGATACCGATCTCAAACAGTGGCTGGTGTCTGTAAAAAGCATTTTCAGCTTGATTAAACATAGCATCTCGAAACAGGAGAGGGATATTTTTTGCCATTGTGATTCCAGTATACCGTAGAAGATAGCATTTGAGAAGTTTGAGTTTATGACAAATTTTGCTCTAATCTTCAAGATCTATGTGATATGAAAATTTTCTGATGAGCTATTCTCCGGAAATCTTGAAAATGAAGACTCCTTTTTGCAGATGTTAAACTTAAAATTTTCTCGATTTTTTGATATAGCTTCGAAATGTCCTTTGTTAAATGCCATAAAACAGAGGACTATTCATTTTTAGTTAGCAATTTTATTAGATCTAACTCTTGAAAAACTTGTACTACAATTATTCTTTGTATGCAAAATTTTCCTAATGATAATTTGTAAAGGTGCTGAAAGCATGAATCAGGAACCTCTAACCGCATTACTAGTTTTCAAACACTTTACTCGAAGAAAAACATGTATTTTTGACGGTACATTCAGTATTTTAATCTTTTTTATTTGACTAGAAGGAGATAAAAAGAAAGAAAGAAAGAAAACAGGTCTCTCCAAACAGTGTCTATTCGCTGTAAAAAAAAACTTCACTTTTATGCGGTTTATTTCAGTTGAGAAAGCGGAGATGTATTTACGACTCACATATTTCCTAGAAGAGAGTATTTTAGACTTTCGAGTCTATCACAACTTCTACTCTAATCATTAAGATCTATCTACCCTGAAAGTTTCAAATTTGAGAAAAGAGGAGAGCATTGTTTAATTAATATTACTCGAGACTGACTCAAGATTGAAACTTGCCATGCTCTGACATGTTAACTTTATGAAATATCTATAGATTTCTATCTTAATCAAAATCAAAAGTATTTTATTATAGTAATGAAACGAAAATCGATTATGAGAGATCGAAAATAAAATCTCTAGTAAAGGAAAAAAAAGGAAATTTTCGAAATCATCTTCTACAATTACCTCGAGTAAAAGCATTAAATAGAGAAAAGTAATAAAAAAATAAATCAGATTCTAGATAACATGAATATAATCATCACAAAATGTCAAACATGAAGGTTGTTTGAAACGTTATCGTAGATAGAATAGAAACGAACCTCAACGAATGATGATGATGATGACATAAGTTAAACAACTTAAAGATGAAACCTATTGTTTATACGATTTCTCCACCTAACGAAGCCTCTAGATGTGAGTAAATGTAAATTAAATTCGTTTTTAATTTATGAGTTTCATCTATCTTTTCATTGTCTTTACTAATCATTTCGAATAAAGTAAAAAACAAAAAAAAAAAAAAGGCAAATAGATTTATGATGTTTTCAATCGGTTATAATCGTTGTTATTTTGAATCTGATATATTTCTTCCTTCAGCTGCAAGAAAACGGTATGTTCTTGAAAAATATCCATCACAAGCACGACATGCAACGGAATATAATACATTACAATATACATTTCGACCAATAACACCACCAAATGTTAATCAACAACAAAATAAACATGTTAATACAAACAAACAATCACCTATATATTATTCTGATAATCAACCAAAATCAATTAATTTATTAACAAGAGATAGACAACCACAAAATTTATCTTCTTTTCAAAGAAACATTGGTAAGTAATGAAAACAAAAAATCACCTATATATATATAAATATCGAACAGTATATCACTCTCTTTTTTAAATGTTATTCTCCACTTATACGCCTCTCTTTAATCTTTGTATTTCTTATCATTGATATACATAGAGTCGAGTGGGGTGATTCAATTATAATTTTTGATAGTTTATCTTCTTTCTTCTATAACTTTTTTATTTTTCATTGGATAAAAAAATTTTCGCTACCAAACATGTAGAGGAAACATTTTTCTACACAACCATGCTTTTAGTTTTTCAAAATACTGTTCCGGAACGGATCTACAGCG